GAATAAGGCAGAGTGATAGAGGAGGTCATCTGATGCCTTCCTCTGGCTTCCGAATGTCCTTACAGGCATGTCTACATACACACATTCATACACAATGGGAAGGGACTGGGTGGGAGCATTGGCTTGTGAAGGGAAACCCCTAAGTTCCACTTTAGGAATGTCAAAGTTTTGATAAAATGGTTTTTATTTTTTTGTAAACATTTTATTTATTATTTTTATTTTATGTGTATGAGTGTTATGCCTGCATGTAGGTAAGTGCACCTGTGTCGAGCAATGCCTGAGGAGGACAGAAGATGCTGTCAGATCCCCTGGAACTGGAGTTACAGATAGTTGTTAGCTGCCATGTGGGTCCTGGGATTCGAACCTGGGTCTTCTGCAAGAACAGTCAGTGTTCTTAACCATTGAGCCATCTCTCCAACCCTGATGAAATGGTTTTAAAACTCAAGCACAATGCCCAAGAGAAAGTAAGTTTTAAGCAAATGAGCACTATTCTTACTGCTATTTTTACTACCTTTACTATGAAAGCTGACGAGGGGCTGTGAATTTAGCCCAGTGGTAGAGAGGGGTGGATCACGAGTGGGTGTAAAAATGAACAAACAAAAACCCAAACCACAACCAAAACAACACAGAAAACAAACAAGAAAACTTAGGAGTCCTTATGACCACACCTGGCCAGAGGTAACCTTCCAGCTCCATTACTCAGCAACCACATTCCAGAGCGAGGAATGACTTCTTTATGGGACCCAAGAGCTTCAGATATGAACAAGGAAATTTCTGATTTGTAGCTATAGCCTCACAGGATGAGTGAATGGGGGAGGAGTCAAGGGCTGGAAAGGGGGACAAGGTTTACTGTGTAGACATTCTTGTGTTATCGCTGAAAACCTCTGAACTCTGAAAACAAATGCGATTTTCTCTTTTGACAGATGAGATAACTTGTCTAATGTCTTGACTCACTGTATTTGTGCTTTTTACTGTAAAACTGCACTTTCACCACCAAACAATCATCTAGTTACCTTTTGTTGTCATAATGACTTACCTAGGCTGCAGCTATAGCCTAAATACCTGCATCTTCTGGGGGACTGCCTCAAAAAAGTATACTTCTGACAGAAAAAAAAAAAAAAACAAAACACCCAACTTTTTACAAAGCAAGCCAGTATAAGCATGTATAGGTGTATATTTACATGGACAACAATATGTTAGCAATTTCCAATAAACTTATTGAGGGGACTCCATGAGACAGGGTCTCACTATGTAGCCCTAGCTGGCCTGGAACTCTCTGGCAGTTCACAGAGGTCTACCTGCTTCTGCTTCCTGAGTGCTGAGATTAAAGGCAAGTACCACCAGGCCTGGCTTCAGACAGTTTTCTGTTCATTTGTTGCAATAAACATTTATTACACCAGGTGTGGTGGCCCATGCCTGTAATAGGAGGTAGAGGCAGAAAGATCAAGAGTTTAAGGCCATCCTTTGCCACATAGTGAGTTCAAGGTCAGCCTAGGATAGGTAAGACTCTGTCTCAAAAAAATAAACAACCCCCCCAAACAACAACCACAACAAAACAATTTATCAGGATCCACAGAATTGATTTCTCCATTTCAGCAAGCTGGAAGAAAGTCCTATTGGAAAGGGTAAAAGGAAAAGTAGGATGTTAGCACATACTCGGTATAGCTTACACTCAGGCTGCCTTCTTGGGGAGATTCGTGAGAATCAAATATAGCACAATATGGATGGAAGATGAAGATGAGGATGATGGTGATTCTTTTATAAGGGAATGGAAATAATTAAAAAGCCCCAAGAGGAATATTTAGAAGAAGAAAAGACTCGGTCTTAGGGTAATGATCAGATACATTTTAAATTAATTTATGAAAGCTAATGGAGAAAGAAATGCAACCTATTTATTTTTGAGACAGGGTTTCATGTAGCCAAGGCCAGCCTTGAACTCTTGAGCTTCCTGCCTGTGCCTGGATTTAGAGTGTTTTAAAAAATATTTTATTTTTATTTTATGTGATTGAGTATATTGGCTACATATATGTAAGTGCACTTGTCTTGTGTCATGCAATGCCCAAGGAGGTCAGAAGAAGGCATTGGATCCCCTGGAACTGGAGTTATGGAAGGTTGTCAGCTGCCATGTGAGTGCTGGGAACTGAACCTGGGTCCTCTGCAAGAGCAGCCAGTGCACTTAACCTCTGAGCCATCTCTCCAGTCCCT